GTAGTATAAAAAGGTCAAAATTGGGCTATTTTTGTCCAAATATTGTGTCAAATTTCTTGAATATTTTGTTCGTTACGAAAGAATATTTATTCAATGTTTATGAAACTTTGCTATAATATACTTTGACATCTCCTCTTCCGAATAGCATACCCGCCCCCTTCCGACCCCTTTTTCAACTGGGCTAAAACTATGGCATTTCGAAATGACCCAAAAATTTCAATGTTCTAGTCACGTGATTTCAATAATTTTTTGTCAGAAAAAACTAGATATGTGGATCATCATTTTATAGTTTACAGATTTGATCTAGCTCATTTCGTTCGGGAGATATAACGATTCTTGAGAGGACAAGTTTTTTTGAACGACTAGATAATAATAAACTATATGGAAATATTTATAAATATTCATATTAATGGTCCAGTAATAATGGACATTAAAAATAGGAAAACTTTTATCAAATAATAGGACTAAAAGATAAAATACTTAAAATAGCACTCAAATAAGTATTGTTTATAAAAATTAGTAAAATATACATGTTGGTTTTACACAATTATACAATATTATTTGCTATATAAATCAAATTACTGTAATATTATTTTTAATAAAATATAATTATATTTATAATATTGTTTTGTGTCGTTTAAAGTTTTATTAATTAAATGATTATCGCTTCTAAACTATATAGATATTTATTTTATTTAAATATATGTCATCTAATCATTAGTAAATCGGTTAATAAATCAATGGTTTGTGTGATTTATAAATATATTTTATTAATTGAATTTATATTTTAGATAATTAATAATAACACAAACAATATTATAAGAGTAGACGAAAATCCAGTGGGGATTTGTCGCGTCAAGAATTGCCGCAGTCTTTGCAATGTCGAGACTATTGACGCCGTTTTGAATTATAGAAACGGATCTATATTTGCATTTAAAGGCAATTTCTTTTGGCAAATAATGGATAAGCAATTGTCGCCCACTCTTCACACCCGCAAAGAGATCGGCAATTATTGGAATCCAAACAATACAACACAAACTCCATTCTTGGGACCAATTAGTGCCGCCTTTAAAGATAACAATGGATTCACATATTTGTTTAAAGTATATAACAGTTATCTAAATACTTAATCTTTGTTTTAAATAAATAGTTGTCAACTCTTTAATTAAAAGGAGGACACAATTTATACGTTTAAAGAATTTGAATTCATTGAATCCAAAAATGTTAAGGCATTCAATTCTATCAATTCATTAATTTTGGTTCAATATTGGGATGAAATACACCGAATGGTATACATGTTTGGAGGTAGGCTTTAGAGACAATATTTTATATGTCTATAAATTATAATTATTAATAAAATTATAGGCGATTCCTATTGGGAAATAAATCCATTTAAGAAGATGTATAACTGGACACAAATCGGCCGAATTTTTGCCAAGAATTCTAATGATAGACTTCCCGTCGGTATCGACGCTGCCTTTGAAGACAACGATAATAATGTTATATTGATTTGTGGCGAAAGTTTCATAAAAATTCCTTCGTATAGATTTCCCGTAAGGTTTTAATCAATAAACATTTATTTATTTTTAAAACATTACTATTTGTTTATGAAATTTAATTTTAGCATTCAATCAGTGATAAAGATTTGGCAAAAAAGTTCATTTATAAAGATCTATTCAATTGTGAAGAATCCTTTTATGAGACAACAAAATATCATAATTACGATGAATTTATCGTCGCTTTAATTGTTGACAAATATAACAAAACACCTCAAATACGGCAAACTTTTCCAAGTCCTCCAACCGTTCAATGTTTAGGTTTGTAAAACTTTTGGTACTATTTATTACATATCAAAACAATTCCTATTGATTAACATTATTTAAGAAGAACCAAAAGCGACACAAAGTACTGTTCATGAAAATGTTAAAAGCCATTGGTTTTACATAATGATCGGATTAGGAGTCGGAATGGTTTTAATGGTTGTATTGAAATTGGGTTTTAATTTCTTTAATAAAGAGCATTATTCGCCTAAAAGTAAACCACTTTATATTTATCCCAAGACTCGACCCAATCCTACTGACGACTCAACTTCTATAGAACTTTAAATTTATTTAAATGTTTTTAGTTTTACATCATTTAAAAATGCTTAAAATAGTTAATTAATTAAAAAATTAAATGTTTAATAAATGTTTTATTTCAATGATAAGTTTCAAAATAAATTTATTTGTTTACACATGCAATAAATTTGGTGCAATTCTTTAGCATTAATTCTTTAGAAACATAATAATAGTTTTTAAACATGAAATAACATTACATTTTATTATTCATTCATTTTAGCTATAAATCATGAATTAATTTATGATATTTGTATGATATTTGTGGTATTAAATATTTATTTATTCTTAATAAAAAGCAAAATCATTTTTGTTTGTAATAATTTGCCTTCAATTCAAACTAGTTCATTGAGATTTCGGTTAATTTCCAAAAATTAAAACATATATTATTACGATTCTAAATACAATATATTTTATTTACGGTTAATTTATGCTAGTTCATTTTTTATTAATAAATTTAAACGTTTCAATAAGTTAAAAACATTTATAAAAATTTAATATTTTATAAATAAAAATTTGTTTAATCATTTAGGTTCTAAATTTTAGGATAATAAGTTGTATTAATTTAGTATTAGTAGCCAAATTTATAATAACAATTATTATTAAAAGTAAACGTGAAAAATATTAACCGAAAATGAAATATACATTTATGGCAACATTTAAAGAATAATTTATTTGTTAAATAATATTTTTGCACAATAATTATTCTATAGACTAAATGCCATTAACAATATTACTTTCAACAAATTAAGTTCATCCATTAAACAATCATTTTATAAACTAATTACTGTTATAATCATAAATTTCAGCACTTGTTGTTTGTTGTAAACTATGTTAACTCAAAATACTGATAATATGATTGAATTGTCGACAAACAAGAATTTCAATTACGAAAGAATGGACGACTCGGATGAC